TAGATCATGGTTCAGGATCACCAGTCCACTATTCTCTGCTCCCAACAACAGGGAAGCATAATTAAGAGAACACTGGGAAGCAAACCTATCCAGAAGAGCTGTACTTGCTTTAATAATGTTTATACCCTGTTCATATTGTATTTATGGCTGCAGGCTGGGTTTTTTATTGAATCCCCTTTCCTGCCCCAATGTTATTTCCAGGCCTGATTCTCAACTGCTCCACTGATTTCTATGGAACCACATTCTGATTTACACCATCTCGGGATCTGACCTGGAACAAGGTCTCTTTATATTTAAAAATTCAAACCAAAGCTCAGTTTATGCCAAAATGCACATTTTTTCCAGCTCAAACCTGCTAAATTGCAAAAAGCCTTCTCTGGTCCACTGCTGGTCTCTTCTCACACATTGCTTGAATGCAATCCAAGCATGGGCCAAGGAAATGCATATTAATAGAAAAAGAAAATGACTGACGACTTCCCAAACATCTGTCATACTTGCAATTTTTAATGAGCCTTATATAATGTGTCATCAATACTATTTCTTTCATAGCCATCAATCTTAGTCACCCAAATCTATCACAGGGAGCATAGCTCTGGGAGGGACCAACTTTTAGAGCAACGTGGAAACCTATTAAACAATGATGCTTTTGTAGCCAATCTCAGAAATACTCGGGCTCCATTCACATTTGTGTGTCTAGTTTTGCTCCCTATTATTTGGCTTCAAATTTTGCTTGGTCCTAACAAATCCTGCTTTAAACATCCAAATTGGCCAGCCTTCCAAAAGTTGGCCCAACACTTGATTGTGAGTTAGGCTGATATTTTACAAGTGGCCATTGATTTTGAGCACCACCATCTCTCTGCACACAACCTGAGACTCCTAGAAGTGCTGAGCATTGATTTAAACCGGATCTGTGGATGATTAAAATGGAAACCCAAAAGCTAAAGTATCAAAAGCTGGCAGCCACTTCTGAAATATTTGGAATTGGCTCAAACAACTAGGTGTGGGGCAGCTTCCCCATCTTAAAGCAGAGCTATTTGCCCATCTTTATAAAACCCTTTAAGATCTTTATATGAAAAAAAAACTACAGAAGGGCTAAGAATTAGTAGTAGAGATGGCAGAAAGGAGAAAATTTTCATGAAGATTTTTTTCTTCAAAATTCAAAGTTGATGGAAAATATTCTGTTGTTAACAAATGTGTTGTTATTCTTATTCCTATTATCACACAGGCCCTTACCACTCGAGATAGAGGGGGATCTATTGGCACTATAGAGCTTATGACGTTCCGTTGAGTAATTTGTATTGTTCCCAGCAGAGGACAGTAACACACCCACAGACTAATTAGTAAATACAACATACAGTCTGTGGAGGGTATATTCCCATTGTAATTCTCGCAGGTTTGGGACACCAATGACTGGATGCTCAGAGGCTGAAAGCAAGAAGAGACCAGTGGATATTGTTCACTGTTTAGGGGCAAGGCCCACTGAGAAAAAATTGGTACCCTGGCATGTCATGCTCACTGGATCTCTATCCCCTCCCATTTCACCTCAGTTGCAAACATTTTTGGGGGACTCCCACGTGAGGGTCCCCAGTACAACCATCCCTGCTCTCCCTTGCCTTTCATCAGCCCTGCCATGCTAGACACAGCAACAAAAGTCATCCAGCACAGGCTGTGTATATTTGCTTGGCAGCAGGTGTGTGCAAATAAACCAACCATGGGCCAAAGTGAGCATCCATTTCTGATGGCTCCTGGCTTCACACTGTGCTTAAACCTCCTCTCAGCTTTATCCACTAAGGTTTCTCTAGCAGGCAGCAAATATACATATTAGTCATATTCTCACCCTCCCACACTCACCTCAGAGCACATATTTGTGGGAAGAAGAAAAGCCACTGAAAGAAACAGGGGTTTTATTTTATCCTTTTTATTTTCCACAGGCTAAAGTAACCCAAGCCTGGTTTTATTCCATTTAAAAACAAAAACAAACCCCTCTCAACAAATTCCTGTTTATTACACATTGATCTTCAATGTGCTAAATAAATCAGTGAAAATGGAAATCCAAAAATAAATAGCCATTCTGCTGTTGCTATGACTACTACACATTTTTACCTGGACAGAGATTTTATGTTTCACAGTTGTTAACAGTTTAAAAGGAGAATTACATTTAGTTTTTCGTCCTGGCACATTTTCCCCATAGGAGAGATTATTTTGGGTTCCTTATTAGAAAATAACAGAAAATCAGACAGAGGAGCTCTTTTTCACTCAAGGCTGAACAGACAATATACAAATGTAGTAAATTATTAGGGCTTATGAAGTCTATTCTACACATACAGGTAAGAGGATACAATATTATTATTGGCTTTAGCAGAGCACCTAAGGATGTTAACTAAGATTGAGATCCCAATACGCCAACTGCTGGTTTGATGGCTAGTAAGAAATACTCCTTGGCCACAAGGTCTTATCTTCCAAGCAGGCAAGACAGACAAACAGTGTTAGAAAAAGATTCATCGTGCAATCAGATGATTGGGAACTGAAGCAGAGAGGTCACAGCTCTTGCCAAAGGTGTTACAGGGAGACTGTGGCAGCACAGACAGTTTAGCTGAGATCTTTAGTTCCAGTCACCCTCCTTCTACCACAGGGCAGAGATGTTTCTTACCCGACACCTGATCGTCATGACCAACATGACTGAAAAGATTTCACCTAGAAGAGCCTACGTTCAGTAATGTAGTTGATGGAGTTTCACTGGTTTTTTCAGGGCTGAATTTGGCCAAATGGGGAAAACATACCAGGCTACACACCCATCCCATAATATTATCATGGCTAGGAGGGGTAAAAAGGAAGCACAAAAACTGTCTTCCTTATCGTGGCCTTTCTTAGAACTGATGCACCACAAACCCTGTGCACTGTGAACTTCAGAATCTGTACCAGGGTGGGTTCAATCAGGGAGCGTCTTCTCTTCGCATAAACCCAGCACTACACTTCCACATCCCATTCACTCCCCCCCCCCCATGCTTTGTTTCTTCTCTCAGCAGAAGCAGCTGGCTTCCGTGTCAGCTGTTTGACCTCTGCCTTGCACCTTGAGCTGTCATGCTCGCCAATGAAAAGTTGGCATAAGTCATCAATAAGTCAAAGCGGCACCATTTACACCTACTTCCCACTTGCTGGGACATTCCACAGCTGGTGTAAATCAGCATAGCTCCACGGCTGTCAATAAGACTCGGCTGAATTAGACCTGGCCCATTTTGCACATGTTTTAATAACTTCAAAAGGCCAAAGCAATGAGAAGTCAAGCCCACAGACTTCATAGAGTTAACTTCTGATTTATAGCAGCCCTATGGCAGGGAAGGGAACAATCTTATCCTTGGAAAGGATGAACCAGGTGGCCTTTCCATTTCTAATTTGAGAAACAGCATGGGACTGAGTCCAACTGATATGAGGAGTTCAGGGGGCTCCCAAGTTCTAAGACTAGTTGGTTTGAAGACCTACTGTATTTCTTCAGGAAGTCCCTTAATCTCCCTGAACCTTGTCGCACCATTGGCCCTATTAAAATCCCCCTGCCTGACAAATATGGTTAGGAGGGTTAAATAACTAATGAAACAAATTAGAACTGGGCAAGAACATTTCTGAGATGTCCACGTTTTCCCATCCTAAATCAGGATGACAAGACAAAACAGCAAAGCAGCAAACCTCTTCTCAAAACCAAAATCTGAGCGGGGGTGGGGAGACTCAGTTCAAGTCCATTGAAATATTTCATTCTGATCCTTTCACACATTTCTATTCAATTTTGTCTTTATATTTTTTGACATTCAAATGTATGCATCCCACATTTTCAAAGGAGAAGTCATTTCCCCCTGGATTTTTCCTTTTGAAAGAGTCGAAACAAAATGTTTCGCCAATTGCGAAACGTTTTTGTAAAATGTTTTCAAGTCAAAAACAGGGGGGTTGGTACCGTTTGTATAGATGTGTTAAGAGCCATTAAACAAAGTGCAAATGCTGTCTGTGGTGGAAACCACTTTGAGCCACTGGGTGCTGCTGCATTCCCAGCTCTTACACTTGACAACTTACTTGAAACCAGACCCTTTTCCACAAAAAGTCTCAACAAATTGGCATTTTCCAACAAAAAATGTGATGTGAAAAAATTCCCAGTCAGCAATAGACCAGACCCTCAAGCTGGTGTTCCTCTCCAGTCAATGGTGAGAATCTACCCCAATGACAGTACAAGCACTAAGCACTCATTTATGTGATTCTACACAATATCCAGCAACAGGAAGCATTTTTGTACCACCAAAACGATTCTCAAGTACCTTGTTAATTTTGTTCACTTCCACCAGTCTCAGTCTATATAGAATTGCATTTGCATGCTCTCTCTCTCTCTCTCTCTCTCTCTCTCTCTCACTCACACACACACATACTGCTATGCCTCTTTTCCTTAAAAGCAAAGCAGACGGCTCAAGCAGCAGTCGGTGAACGCAGGCATTCAATTCTACTCAGAGAATCTCGTTTTCCTCTAAATGAGCCTCTCATCAGGCTCAGTGACAACTCTTAGCTGCCTGAGAAAAAGCACTGACATAAAAAAAGGAACCTATTTTCCAGAGCAAAGTAATCCCTATTCCATTGCCATGGCACCAGACATCCGTCTCTTCCTTTCATTGACCAGACAAGGTCCCCCTCAGCTATTGTTTTTTTTCTTTTCCTTTCTTTCTTTCTCTCTATCTTTTTTTTTTTTTTTTTTTTTTTGTGTGTGTGCCTGAATTTGTTTCCTTGCTAGGAAAAGTAGTCATTAAAGTATTAGTTTAGGTTGGTTGATTCTTCAGGGACAGAGAAGTGTTCTGGGGACTTTGTAATCTCTGACATGTT